GTACAGACTAAACCCAATACAAAATCAAAAACACAGATATCCCCAATGTGAACACAGACATAAATGCAGCATTAAAGACAAACTAGATTATGCATAAAACTGAAGGACGACAGAGAGTAAAAACATTTAAAGTTCACTCAATTCCACTGAGACAGTTGAGTGGAAGCAAACATGTGTATGCACTACAGTGCATAAACCTAACTACAATGCAGTAAAAACTGACCCAGTTACTTTCAGTGCCATCATTAAAAGTAAAAATTGATCCTGACCCCCTTTTCCCCTCTATAAAAAAAAAAAGAAAAAAGTTCTATGACATGAAGTTTGTAAAGGAAATTTATCATTTAATGGATGGATGAAATTGAAGGTGTGAGTCCCAATTTGAAGGCCTTGGGAAACGCCATTTCTGACATACTATGTTCCAGCCAACTGTTGTTCTGTAACCTCTATGACTGTGCTGCACTTCCTGCATCAAACTGACATTGGTGTGGCTTTACACAAACACAAAGTTATTTATAGCATTTCTCCCACTTTATTTTCTCCCTCCTATTCTCTCCCTATCTCTCTCCCTCTCGTGTATTTGCATTTCTGCAATGCAAACAGGAGTTTGGTGTCAAGTGCGTCAGTTGTACAGGCCTCGGTTGTCCCTTTTCTTTCTCAAGCCTCAATCTATCTCAAAATTTCTCCCCTTCATTCCCTCGCTTGACTTGACTCCCCCTCTCCTCCATCTCACTGTAGCTTTCCACCTCTCTCACCTTCACCCTCTCCTCTCTCCCTCCCCCATTCACCCTCTCTCCCTGTCTGTGTTTTCCTTTGCTCAATTGTTTTGCTGTAGATTTGACCGCTATGATTAATGACCTCAAAGCCTCAGGAAAGCAAACACAGAGAGACACGACATGCTCGCCCTTCTCTTACAAAACCTTCCCTTTTTCTCATATGTCAACTGCTTGTATGTTCACACGAAACACATTACGACTTCTGGTAAAAAGATCTACATATTAAGAGCCAGATTACACAAGACTTTGACTTTATATGCACATAATTTAATCTTGTACATACTTTTGCTTATTTTTTATTTTCCTGGTTAAGATACTAAACAAAGTTTCTCCCATAAATCTCAATTTTAGTGCACTGGATGTCCAGTTTTTGGCATTATTGACTCACATTTTAAAAGCTTTTGTCTTTTTTCTATGTGTTCGAAATGATGAAATGCACCCCAGAGGTCAGTTAAAGACCTCAGAGGTCAGAGGTCAGAGGTCCGGGCTAAGCATCAAATTAGTCAAACACAGAGGTAGGCATTTAGGGTCAAAACACCTCACTGGGAAGCATGATTTGATAAAGTTCACTTTATGTGTATCAAATCTGACTTGTGCGAAACAAAAGAAAACAATTTAACGGGAATAATCACCTGTTAGGTTACTGTTGTAAAATGAAGTTAGAACTAGCAGCGGGTTGGCTTAGCTTAGCATGAAGTCAGTGTGAATGACAAAGAAATAGTTACAGCATGTAATAAAAGCACAACTTCTTGTTTTCACAAATTGAACAAACAAGATATAATGGGATAAAGTGTCAATTAGCAGATTTTTTTAACCTTTGGACAGAGTCAGACAAGCTGTTTTCCTCTGCTTGCGGTCTGCTCAGCTGAGCAACGCTAATCACCTGCTGGCTTAAGCATTTTCTTTCTTTCTTTCCTTTTTTTTAATTTGGTGTACAGACATGAGAGTGGTATTGATGTTCCCATCTAATTCTAGGCAAGAAAAGTGAATAAATGTATTTCCCGAAAGGTTAAATGATTCCTTTTAACACACTCCAGATTGGAATAAGACCATTAAACTACACTTGGCACAGCATGCAAACCAAGGGCACGCATGCTTGTAAAGCTCTCATTTCTTAAGGTCATGCTGAGATTTGTTAGCTCTGATCACCTCTCGTGTCCGTGTTGTAGCATGTGTACAGTACACTTAGCTAAACTCACCAGTTGTTAACCACAAAGAGATTGGAAATAATTATTTTTACCTTTTCCCCTCGATTTAGATCCTGTTTATTATTCTAACCGCTCTGCCCTCACTGACTCCTTCCCATTGTACGGCAGAAGCACCGCTGAAGACTTCACTTTGCTCTTTGACACTCTGTATAATTGTTTTCTACGCACCCTGTTTTGCTCATCGAGACCTGGTTTGCAGGTGTGAAAATAACCTATTCCAAGACACCATCACATCAAGCACAATGTGATTAGGACAGCATGTAAAATCATTTTCCAAGAGCAATAAAGAAAGTGATTTCATTTTCATTGCAGAATACAATGATTGTTCCTCCAGCAAACTAATAGTGCTATCAGATAGAAATCATTGCACTAGAAGTAACACTTCCATCAGAGACTGAACGATAACGTGAAAATGGAACTGGGGCATCAAATTGAATAATGTTGCAAAGAATTGCCTTTGTACTGGAGTTTGTTTGGTGCTCTCAAAGTGTCATGTATGAAGATAGAAACAACAACAACAAAAAATCGAACAAAACTCTGCTGGTGTTGAATCTGTGTGTAATTTAAATGGAAAATACTGAAATACTGACAGCATAAAATTTCCCTGGAACATATGGCCCATTACATGTGGTGAAACATGCTTATAAAAATGATCGTGGTCCATTTCCAGTCTGCGGCCGCAGCTTGAGAAACACCTTCGGTAACGTACTGCAGGCACATATCCATCCCGTTACTTGACCTTACAGTAGCAACAGTAATTCATCTCCGCCACAAGCTGTCTTGAGGTGTGTTTTGTTTTCTCATAAATGGTCGGTGCCAAATAGTGTCAGACGGAGAGGCAGGGGAGGCCTCTGGGAGTGTGTGTGTGTCTGTGTGATAGTGTGTGTGTTTGTGTGTGTGTGTGTGTCTGTGTGTCTCTCTGTCTGTGTGATAGTGTGTGTGTGTTTCAAGCTGCGGCCTCTGGCTGTGACCCCAGTGTTAATCACTCTACAGCCAGAACAACCACAGGCTCTATTGCCACCACTGCTGCTGGAGCCCTCCTCCTCTCCCTCTCTGCTTCTTTCCTCATTCATACTCTGCCATCACTCTGTTTTTATTTCTCCCTCTCAATTCCGCCCCCCCCTTCCTTTACCTATAGTATCTTCCCTACTTGACCTCCCACTTACGCAAGATCGCTGTCTCCTTCCCCATTAGCTCAGGGATACAGCCTCGTCTTTCTCATTCCTCTCGCCATAACCTCAAACTGTCACCTTTCTTCTAGCCTAAGCCTCCCCTTTAGGCTTTTTGAGCTTTGTGTTTTGAAGCTCTGCATTAGCAGGCCTGCGCTGTCCTCATTTCTCTGGAAAACTGCAAAGGAGCTAAAGGCTGTTCTCGCCTCTCGGCGCATGTGTGGTCTATCGCTAGCAGCGCAGCTGGTTGACAAGGTCTGAAAAAGTGCTTGGTCAGCCATGTCACTGACTGATTCAGGTGATTGGCTTAGTAGGTGACGGTTAAGTCGGTTCAGTATTTGTCAGCCTACGTTTTATTCTCGTGTTCTTTGTTGTGGCAGTTGGTCATGAAAATATTTAATGCACTGCTGCACTAATGTCGTAGATCAGAACAAAAGCCATCCCTCCTACAGCTCCAGAAGTGCCAACATAACAGAAATCATTTTGAATACTTGTCTGTGTAAAGTAGGTCCCTGGAAATCCCTGTAGCTTTTCTGGTGAACTGGGTGGCACTGCAGATCAATTTCTGGGTCAACGTGCTGGCTGACTTACCCGCCGTGTGTCATTTAATTACACTGCTGTTGCCTTTGATGCCTCTTTTGTGGATGTAGTTCTTCACATGAGTCTGCAAAGTCTGTGAAGCTGCCCAAGAAACGCTTAACATCAGCACGTTAGCATGCTAATAGCGACAACGCTGCACTGCAGGAACAAAACAATAAAAATCAGTGAAATGTTGCAGCATGGGTGCCAGAAAAACGTTTAAAAATGGTAGAATACTGTAATGTTCCAAAACTGAAAATAGATGCAAATATTTGTAAAATAATTCCATTTTTAGCTTTAAATACAGTAAAAAAAAAAAGGTGCAATTTTATGATCAAACAATGAAAACAACAAATTAGCAAAATTACAATTAAAACAGATTTTACATGTTGACATGATTTATAGTTTTGACCTGTTCTTTTAGGGTTAAGATGTAAATACTACTTTTTTCTGTATTTTTTTAATGTTTTAGAATGTTTACCATGTTTAGCATCTTAGCTTAGCATGTTAGCATGATGACATCTGCTTATTTTGAGCACTAAACACAAAGTACAGCTGGAGATAATAGGAATGTCATCAACTGAAAGTGATTGTTAAGGTGATCCAGGTCATTAGGATTCATCCTGTTGATATCTGATATCTGTACTAAATGTAATGAATAGTAATTATTAATATGTTTTAGTCTGAACAAAAGTGGTAGATTGACTAATCAACTGATAGGTCAACATTGTCATCCATTCAAAAAAATAAATAAAGCAGAAAAAGTCCACACGGAGAACGTTTCGTCAGTGAATATGGATACGCTGCAGTCGAATGAGTGACTGGCCAACTTGCTGGTGGACTAACTAGATGGCCGCTGGTGCGAATGTTGAGCTCTCAGTGTTGTGATGATCACTCCGTTGCGCCTTTGTCGTCTTGTGACACCCAAGGAATCGCAGCAGTTAGGTGTGCAAACACTTAGACACACACAGACACACACGAGCTGTAGGCAGGCTGAGGCGAAGAGTGTGAGTTACACAAGCTTTGACAGGGCCTAATTATACGTGTCTCTAATGAACTGTAATTACTGACATCCACCAGAGCATCGAGGTCTATAAGCTGAGGACTTGCAGTCATTAGGCCGCTGTGCTACACTGTTTCTGTATCTCCACTCACTGACTGAAATTTCTCTTTTCTATCCCTGTTGTGATGTGTTGGCTCCTGCCTAACTGTTTTCTCATTTCTCTCTCTCTCTCTCTCTCTCTCTCTCTCTCTCTCTCTGGCTGCTACAGTTTGATGGTGACAACATGTACATGAATGAAAACAACCATGAGTTCCTCCCGCCAAACCAGGTGAGTTCAAATTGCTCCTAATGGGGTGCCTGCTCTTTGCCTTTCTTTCTCTCATTTCTTCTGTTCCTCGTGATTGTTGCCTGAGTTGTTGCAGAGACATTTTTTTCTTCCACCACCGTTGATGCTTGTTAGCATGGACGGCAACTTGTTACTGAAAACAATCCTTGGAGTCGTGTGACATTGTGGCAGAAAGCAAAAAGACCAAAATCCTTTAAAAAAAAAAACAACCCATTCCAATTAGTTTATCTGGGTTTTACACTGACTGGAGCATTCTTCGATGCTTTATGCGCTGTACGTTTGAAGTACTCCCTTAGGATTGTTAATATGGGTTTTAGTGGTCACAGTGTGGAACAAATAGGAGTTCTTTTCTTCTATTCCTAGAACATGGAATCTAAATGCACTCAAATGTTTTGTCGATTAATGTTCTAGTTAAGTTTATTTACTGCCTAATGTTCATTTTTTTCCCCATTAGTTGTTATTTTGGCAACAACTTTTCGTCATATTAAAATATACATTAAAATCAACACTTACAGTAAATAGTGTAAAATAATTAAAATATAATAGACTGTTACACCCAGCTCAGTAAATTGGCATCAAAACATATGCATGAAAACCAATAGAACAGTTAACATTAAAACATTGACACCATAATAAATCTCACATTTTTTGCACATCCACTCAAATAAAAACGTAAAACTATTTATTGAGCTTATTTTTGTCAACGACCACTGTAGTTATTACTTACAACTTTTTTTTTCTTACTCACTTCTTCAAATATATCATATAGCAATGAAGTAGTTACTTTAAAATGACCTTTTGAAAAAAAAAAGAAAAAAGTAGTTATTGTTCTTGTGCAAAACAAATGTGTTTTCTTTATATGCTTAAGTTGGAGCCTGTGCACCATACACAGGGCAGAAGGCATGGAAACACTCAGGGACAAGTTGCTACTCCATCATTGTACTTCATAATTACATTTCTGCTTAGTTGATGGAAACCAGAGAACCCAAACCAGCAAACATCCAAATTCTGCACTGAAAGCACCAGTGCCATCTTTTTCTAAGGCAACAGAGTCACAACCATGATTTTTTATTCAAATTCACTTTATTCTAATTATACAACCATCCTCTATGCCCACTGTATTTTAACTTCAGTGAAAGCCAACACAGAAAACATAATGGCCTCATTGCAAAGGATTTATTAAGATCGAATGAAGGGGGAGTGAGTACTCTTCTGCAGTACATGTTAACCCTGCCAGATACACTGGAGCACAGCTGGTCATGAACAACTGGGAGACCATATGGTTGTGTTTGGACAGGGGGATTTGTGGAGTTTGGGAATAAGCCCATCTGACATACACAGGGGAGCAGGGAATTTGTCCCTGTCAATTGCAATTATTAGAACTGAACCCATAGGCGAGGGTGGTTCTTGTGTTTCTGTTGCATTTGCTGTTTTGCTTAATTTCTTAATGCCTTGGTTTGCTAATGTATGGCTCAGGGCCCAGAGTGAGACACAGAGCTGCTTATGTTTCCTGTTCTGCATTTGTAAAGTTTACTTAAACGCCTCTGACAACAAACATATCTGTCACAAAGTGATTTTCGGTGGAATACTGCTGTTATCTGACAAATTTCTCGTGCAGATAGTTGGCTGTCTGAAAAAAAATAAAAATCTTAAGAACCACTGCTTTTATCGACCATTTTTGATTCAGCACATGCAGCTTTACTGGAGTACTGATTGACTGATTACAGGCCGTGCTGTTGTGCACAGTATTTTTATGTTTTTGCTGAATTACTGAGGGACAGATAAAACATCGCAAATTTGGCATAGAAGATAGACACGGAGAGTGAGGTGGAGAAAGGTAGGGATCAAGGAAGCACGAGAGAAAGGGAGAGAGGGAAATAGCGTGAAAGACGGTGATGGGATGAGAGACGATTTTGCTTTGCTCTGTGTTATACTTTGTTTACTCAAGATCCCCTCATATTTGACATATGCCTTGCTCTATTCTCCGCTTCACCAAGTTTAGCCTCTCCTTTCCTCTGACAGCTAGAATCAGGGAGGCCTTAGGGGTGGACACACACTCCGACAACAAAACACAGAGATAGAAGAAATACAAAAATCACTGATCTGCACCTTCTTAGCTATGTCCTAAGTCAACACTACACACTAATCCCAAGTATATTTTAAGCATGTAGTGTAATCACACTGGAAAAGTATGCTTAATAAAGTCAACATGCATGCTAAGGACCTTATTAGGGTACTACATTCTTATAGTACTTTCTTTGTGGTTTATATACTAAAAATACACTCACATAACAATTTTGAACAAGAATTCACTTATCAATGGAAGTTCACAAGCAGACAGCACAAACAGCAAATCAAAAAAAACCTATTTCATAGTTTTTCTTTTCTGTGGCTTTCTGTAGCTAATCTCCAGTTGCTCCTCTATTTTCTTGATGCACTGCATTATGAGAAAATACTGTACATCAACAGCATATTTATAAACAAAAGGATTTTTAGTATCCTGACTTTATTTTTTCACTACAGAGTTTGCATTTAGTTGAAAATTGGGACAAAACTACATTTTGATTGACCTGATCAGTGCATGTTTCTGTTAATACAAAACATGTACTGATTTTCTTGCATTCTATCTAAAAGTATTCTATAGCTAGTTTATTTAAGTGTGTTCCATTGAGTTGGGATTTTGACTGAGTGGCTAAAGCGAAGCCTAGAACACAAAACAAAGCTGCAAATCTGTTTACACTTGAATATGTTTGCGAGTGTTGAAGTGAAATGGACTCGTGGCGAGCGGGATAAGACAGCTGCGGGGCTAATTTTTATTAACTAGTTATATTCTTCAAGAAATGCGCTGTGCAGCATACACAGACGCTATATTATTCTCAATATATTCCATTTTGAACAAAAACAAATCATACTGCCTAAAGCTGACTTTTCTCTGCTTGCTGCTTTATTATCTCACTTTAGTTATCTATCTTTCTTTCACCCAGACTCCCCCTCTTTTGCGCTTTCTCTCACTGTTTCTCTTTTTTTTCTCTCTCTCTCTCTCTCACCCTCCATTGCATTTAAATGTATTTGGGTCAGCGGTTCTGCCTCAGAACTGTGTGAACGAGTGTTTCTCAGTGCTTGGTTTTCTCTCACTTCAGTTTCGGCATGTTACGGCTCCGTTTAATATAGCTCACCTATACAAGTACATTTTTATTTTATTTTTTTTTATATCCATAAGGCACATTCATATAGGTCATAAGCATGGCCCTGGTGAGTAAATCTGGCTAAGTAAGCACATCGAATCATGCGATGCTTAGATGGGTATGTTCTAGTGATGAGTCACAAGGAAACGAGGTCAGTGCCATTGTCATATCGATGTTCCCATGAGCATCGTGGTATGACCCTGCTTAGTTCTCTGTCGTGTTTCTTCCAGTCTCTCTCTCTCCAGCCCCCCCCCAGCAGAGTGACAAAGTGTTAGTGATTCAATGACAAGGTCACAGACCCTGGTCTTGGCATCAACAAGCTCTTTGTCTGCCCCTGTGGCCGCTGACCATTGTCGTAGGAACATTGTAGAAAACCGACGATTAGAAGCGCCAGTGTCGTCACGGGGCTTCGATCTGACAAAAAAAAAACCCACAGTGGAAAAGCAGAAGAGCACCGCCTAAGTAGAGAATCTTTTTTTTTTAATAAAGGTCTTAGTGGGCCAGATCACCCAAAGTGAGATTTCTCCTGCTAATACTAAACAGAAGTGCGTCGTGACACGATCAAAGATAATGCGCTGTGGAGATGCCTTCTCATAGCTCCACAGCAAAGTGAAAGAAACAGTATACTTCATCAGCACTTTACCTTGACAATGCTTTCTTTTGATGTCTTTCTCCCTGACTTATGAATTAATTTAGCAGAACTGCTGTTTGAGAGAAATATGTCACAGAAAAAAAAGAACACAAGGAGGAAATGGGGGGGGGGGGGGGGGGGGTGGAGATGGAGAAACTGCACAGGGGAATAATTCGGCTAATGGAGTGACTGTTTGGATATTCAGCAGAAGTAGGAACGGAGATTATGATCTTGCAATTAGCGTAACAAGGTTTTATTGATTGGCTGCTGCTGTAGCGTCTTTGCTGCCAAGACGCTGCATGTGGTTTTAACATGCACAGTGTGTGTGTAGCCCAGCCAGTCACACTAGTCCGACTACTACAACACTGCCAGAGCAGAATCCAGCTCAGTGTTAAAATCGAGCTGTGGCCATTTCCTGATCATCAAAGCTGAAATATTATGGATTGCTGAGTTGAAAGGGTCTGTTTGAATGCATGATGATAAAGTGGACTGCATTTGCATTTTCCGCTCACTTTTAAGTTAATGCATTGCCCTCCTTCCCCTTTCAGTGAAATGCAGGTACGAAAAGGCGGTTTCTGGTAACGAGCGATTTTAAAGTTTGTCTGCTTTTTTTTTTTTTTTTTTACATGTTGGGAGTTCAAATGATGTTTTAACGGTGAGCTTGATGCTATTTCTCGTCTCTATTATTTTGTAAGTCATTGCTGGCAGGGATTGCTGCAATCCCTTGGGTGTTGTAATTGTAATTAGGGAGGTGTTTGAGTGCCAACAGCAGATCTGTGAGACACAGAAAAGTAGAGACATGTCAACGATTGACGGAAAGTTTTTTTTTTTGTTTATCAGGCGGCGAGCAGATGTGATTATGATTTGATTTATAAAACAAGTTGACAGACTGAACTCATAATGGGGCCTCAATGTTATTTTTTATTCATCGCATTTTTAATGAGAGATTTAGTGGTTAAGAACTCTACTTAACAGATTGGATCAGATATGATGTCTGACACATAGTTCTCGTGCCGAAACTTCTCCAAACTGAAGTCTTTTAAATATGATTTAGTTCTGCTCTAAAGCTCCCTTGTGTCTCTCATCTTCCCCCCATATGTTTCTGATGAACCATTGTAGAACATGATCCCATAGTCTTTTATGTCCAACCTTTGACAAATCTATCA